CAGAGGACCCGGGGTCTGTCTCCTTGCTTCTCAGACTCAGCACCGACCCTGGCATGATGGAATGCTTGCTGTGTGCTGGCTGCAGCCGAAGCCTCCAGCTCAAAACAGAGTCCAGGCCTTGCTCTCTGGCAGGGTGACCCAGGACTGAGGATTTCTCTACAGGGGACCTTGTTCAGGATCAGTCGCAGGGAAGTCAGAAGTGATTTCTGCAGTGTCCCGGGACACTCTCCTTACCTACTGCGTCCTACAGTAAGCCAGAAAGGAGACATCTCTGCGGTGTCCCGGGACACTCTCCTTACCTACTGCGTCCTACAGTAAGCCAGAAAGGAGACACACTGGCTAGGGAAGGAGCCAAAGTGTGGCACGTCTGTCATCGATATTCGTGTTGTTTACGAGTCGCACGGGCTTTTTCCATTTCCCTGCAGCCCCTGACTGAATCCCCTGTGCCAATGTGGGAAGTGTAAGGTCAGGGGCTACCGTGGGGCACAGATCCTCTTTCCTCTGTGATTCTGAGGGCCGGCAGCTTTTGGATTCTGTGGCACTCTTTCTCTTCCTTATATTATTTTATTATTATTACTTACTACATGTGTGTGGGGGGATGCACATGTGTGTTCAGAGGCTAACACACTTTCCTTCCATCATGTGGGTCCTAGAGATGGAACTTAGGTCTTGAGCCAGCCTTGGCAGCCAGCTCTGCTATCTCACAGTTAGCTCTCCAGCCCGTGTTGTTTTGGCCATCCTAATACAAGGCCTCACGCAGCCCAGGCTAGCCTAAAATTTGTTATGAAGTAGAGCCTTGGACTTATGATCCACCTGCCTCTGCTTCCCAGCTTCCTGCAGGCATGTGCCAGCACACCTGGTACGTGGTGCTAGTGATGGGTTCGGTCTCCATGCCAGGCTAGCATTCTCTCTGCTGAGCTGTAACCCTGGGTTCTATCTTCATTCTGACCAAAGCCACTTAGAGGAGGGGAGGGCTCGTTTTAGCTTCCAGGTCACAGCCCATCACGGAGAGAAGCCAGGGTGGGGACTTGAAGCAGAACCCTGGAGGAGCCCGGCTTGCTGGCTTAGCAAACTTTTTTTGCCTGGCTCAGGCTCAGGACCATCTGCCAAGGGATGGTGCCACCTACAGTGGGTGCCCCCCCTCCAGTCAATCAGTAATTAAGACAATTCCCCACAGACCGCCAACAGGCCAGTCTGTCTGGGCGATCCTTCTGAGGTGGTGTCAAGTTCACAATTAAAACTACCTAGGACTCTAGAGAACTCAATCCCCTCCCCCCCCATGCACTTTTTTCCCCTTTTCTTTCTTTTTGTGTCTTGCTCTGTAGTCCAGGTTGACCTTGAATTTACTATGTTGCCCAGGCTGGCCCTGAATTTGCTACATAGCCAAAGCTAGCTTTGAATTTCTGACCCTCCTGTCTGTATCTCTCAAGAGCTGGGATTTCAGGTAAGCATCAATTTACAGGTCTGGAGATCTTTGCTCCTGTTCCTCTGGGGTGGAATCAAGCCCCATGATATGGCTCCGGGGCCTGCCTCCCAGGCCTCTCTGTGAGAGTCTTCACCTTACTTTTCCCTTCCCAGCACAGGGGCAGGGTCCCCTCTCTTTGCTAGTGTTTCCCAAATGACCTTGACCCTGGATCGGCTTTCCCTCTCTACTCCCAACTAGGGAACTCCCCGCCCCTTGAAGGCCTGTCTGCGAGACACCCCATTTCCCAGGGCTCCCTGTGGGGGGCCTGATGGGTTTCTAGACATGTTGCCATCCCCCCCATGGCTTCCAAAACATACAAATCACTCTGTCTGCACTCTGGGTTTCATTACCAGGAATGCACATTTGAAAACAACAGAGGGTGAGGTCTAAAAGCAACATGCAATTTTTATTACATATATCTCCAAATCCGCCATTAGGGCCGTCCCCGTGGTGTTATTGACCTTGGCTCTTCCTCATTTACAGCCTGCATTTTTCATCCTTTGGAATATGGTGTTTGGGGACTTCTCCATCATTAAGAGGGCTTACAGCAATTTCCCTGTGTGTTTTCTCCAAGGGATTCTGTTATGAGATGCACATTAAGTCTCCATTAATACCTCATTATCCAACTGATAAGATTACCATGATAATGAGGCAGAAATTCTAATTGTTTCACTTATTGCGCCTTCCATTTAATCCTTCCTCTCTACCTGGAAGTTGTTCACCAGCCAGGGCTAGGCTGGAGGAGTCCTCCCACTGGAGGGGCAGAGGCTGGGATCCCCATCGCTGGTGATTGGGCCCAGAAGGGATGCGAGTGAACTTCCTGGGCCTGGTGCTTTGGCTGAGCGGGCTCCCGTGTGAAGCCCAGGGGCTCGCACTTTGCACAAAGGACCTGAACTTCAAGGGAGATCTGCCCTTTGATTTTCTGCTCTATTTTCCCGCTGGCCTGATTGCCCTTCTAGAACATTCCTAGTTCAGGAGCAACCCCTGAACCTGCCTCCCAGGCTGGTGAATCTTTTAGACAGAGTTCGAGGCTCTAGGGTCACGAGTGGAGTAGGGAAAAGAGAAAATACAAAAAGAGGCCCCTTTCATGGGGGCGTGCACCAGGACCCTGTGCAGTGATGGTTCCTAGTGAGCATCTCTGGACCTAGGCATGTTTGCCCGCCACATGTGGAGGTTCCACTGAAGTGATGCTGTGGCCAAGAATACCATCCCATGAGGTTCAGGGTACACAGGCTTTGAAGGAACCTGTGGCCAGGACAATCTTGGGGTGGGGTCGCTTAGCCTGTGGGAGACCTAACACCTCCGGCCCTCATCATGCCTTCCCTGGCTCCCAAGTTCCTGCAAAGGTTTGGAAGCACCCAGAAGGATGCCTGATGGTTGTCACAGTAGGTCTGTGGGGCTGAGAGAGACAGTGGAGGGCAGAGAGGTTCCTGTCCTTTGGTGTCACTTCGAAGGCTAGAAACCGACTCTCCTTCCAGGATGATGTCACTCTGAGCAGGGATGGGGTTGGGTGGGGTGGCCATGGTAAGAGGTGCCCAGTGCAGTGTAGGTTCCAGAAACCTCTAGAACAACGTGGTCCTTCTCCAGTGACTTTGGCCGTAGCTGCAGCTTCCCCAGTCACGTCTGTGGGCTGTGACAAAGTTATGAACGACTTGAAACAATGGCAATGTCCTTCCACAGCTGTGGAGGCCATGCCACAAAAGGAGGTGCCAGTAGTATCACCCTCGCCTCCATTGGGCAGAATCTCCCCTTGTCTTAGATCCTGGTGGAGTCTGTCACTCTGTGACCCTTGGCTGACACCACTGCTGTCTTGGCCTCCACATCACAAGAGCTGTCTTCCCTGTCTGTCCCCTCTTCTAAGAATCCTAATCAAATTGGGCTCATCTTAATTTGATGTCATCTACCAATGAAGCCACACACAGGCATCAGAGAGAAGCTTTCTACACATCTTTGGGGATGAGAACAGAAGTTAACCCTTAAAATCTTCCAAAATACATTTATGTAATTAAAGCACAAGACAAGGCTGGGCATGGTGGCACAAGGCTTTATTCACAGCTCCCAGTGAGTTGGAGGCTGCCCCAGGCTATATTGTGAGTTCTAGGCCAGCTAGGGCTACATAGGGTGACCCTGCCTCAAACAAAACAAAACAAACAAACACCCCACAACAACCAAAAAACCAAAACCACAACAGAAAGCAAAAACAAATCCTCCCCAAATAAATACAACCATATCACAAAGACAGTGTTAGACGGTAACCATGACAGCTGTCACGGCTCGTCAATAGGAATTGCAGGTGCTGACACCCGGGCCTAGCTCTAGAGTATGTGGACATGCTGTCTATACCCCCAGTCCATTCTAAGGTAGCTCAGGATGGCCACAAACTCATAGCAATCTCTTGCCTCAGCCTCCCTAGAGGCAGGATTACAGGTATGAACCATCATGCCTAATTGGTATTTTTTTTTTAATTTGCTTTTAGCCTGGCACTGATGGCACATGCCTCTACAGTAAGTGTAGAGCTGACAGATTCATAAAGCAGACCACAGTGGACAACTTACGGGGCACCCTGTTCTGCACAGCTGCAGGAACGTTTGTCATTTGGGAAAGTCACTGTCACGTCTGTAAAAACCTTGTCAGGCCATGGCTCTTCCCTTCGAAATGGGATTCATTCCCAGAACACCTCAGCAGTGTGACTTCTGCAAGGCAAAGGAGTGACCTTGCTCCGTTCCCCCCACCATGAGGCCTTAGAGTGGCAACATTCACTCTTTGTTCTAACACTCAAATTTACATAGAGTCAATCCCACAAAATTACCTGCTCACAGACACGTAGAAATTTCTATAGAGGACAGGCACTGAACATGAAGGGAGCCTGCCCCACTTTTGCTATCAAACAAATCTGGGCATCCCCAAAGCTGGTTATCACCAAAGAGATTGGCTGAGGAGAACGGGTGGATCCAGGGACGTTTAGTAACTTTATCTAGTGGTTTGGGATGTCAGGTGCTTCCCCTTGGATGCTGGCTCTTTCTGGGGTGGTGTCACCTGTTCCGGAGCACTGCTTTGTCAGGTTCTACCTGCCTTTTTTGTGATTTTGATATGCATATTATCATTGTCTTTGCCTACGAAATTTTCCAACTATGTGCGTAAAAACTAGAAACCTCATGGAGATTACTCATTCTTCCTCTTCTTCTCTGTGCCCCTTTGTTTCACTTTTTCCCCTTGCCCCCTCAAAATAAAGAGCATGCAGAGGTAACATACCTGAATTAATTTTTTTTTGCCCTCAGATCCTCATTCGCCCATAGACATCCTATTCTGAGTTCTGAGCGGGTATTGAGGCTGGTTCTCAAGGCCCCCAATACCTGGGAGGCAGAATAGGTGGATCTCTATGAGTTCAAGGCCAGCCTGGTCTATAGATCTAGTTCAAGGCTAGCTAGTACCACATAGAGAGATCCTGCTGCAAATAAATAAAGAAATATAAATACTAAAAAGTGTTTATTTTATTATTTCTTTTGTGTGTTTTGTCTTTGAGACATGGTGTCCTGTAGCCTAGGCTGCCCCAAACTCCATATGTACTACGGGGTGATCTTGAACCGGCACAGTCTTCTTTATTTCATGTGTATAAATGCTTTGCTTACATGTATATATGTTCACCACATGTGTGCCTGGAGCCTAGAAAAGCCAGAGTGAGGCTGCCATTGGGTGTTGCTAACTGAACCTGAGTCCTCTGTGAGTGCAGTCAGTGTTCTAACCACTGAGCTGTCTGTCTTCCCTACTTCCCTATGAGGACATGAAAACATAGATCCCAGTTCCGGGAGATCCAACAACCTCACATTTGGTACACATATGTACATGCAAGGAAGCTAAGTATTGTTATGCTTAGTCCATGGGGACCCCAAAAGACCACCAGGGAGACCAACTCACCAAAATGCAAAAGCAAGGTTTATTGTGTGTGCGTTACAAGTTGGCAGGGACCTCGTCAGTGTGCAGGAGGGAGAAGAGGTACCCCACCCTTCTAGAGGGCACTATTTAAAAGCAAAAACCAGAAAAGTTACTCTGGGCCAGTCTCCTACTCTGTCAAGTCATGGTTTAGACTCCATAATCTAGGATTCTCTGCACTGTTTACAGAAATGACATCACAGTCTTTATGTCTCCAAGAGGATCAGGATGGGACTTCTAAATCAAATCCTATATGCTCACTAGTTTTTGTTGGTGTCTTTGCAACAGCAATGGCGATTTTCAGAAGCCCATCAAAGGCTTGGCTGGGATGGCCCTTTGCATTATAGCGTCCTCGTCACTCTGCAGCCCTCCTCACAAGGTCCTTGTCACCACCCTAAATCCCCAGACAAATGTCTAGGTTTATCTACCTAAAGCCACGTAATCTCTATCCCTCTTCTTGCTGAAAATTCAGCCACAGGTATTCAGGATTGATGCCAAACCCTCCAGAGACAATGTTAGGCCCTTCACCCCAACAGTAACACCCAACACCCTTCAGCACCACCCTTCCCATTCTAGTTTGCCATCTGTGGTTGTGATAAACAATCTGATCCGAAAACAACTTGTGGGGGTTGGAGAGATGGCTCAGAGGTTAGGACCAATGGCTGTTCTCCTAGAGATCCCGAGTTCTATTCCTAGCAACAACATTGTGGCTCACAACCATCTATAATGATATCTGGTGCCCTTTTATGGCATGCAAGCCTACAGGCAGGCAAAGCACTGTATACATAATTAATAGGCAAATCTTAAAAAAAATGCAAGTTGGGAAAGAAAGGGTTTATTTGGCTTACACTTGTAGGACATAGTCCATTTTTGAGGGAAGTCAGAGCAGGAATTCAAGCAGAAACCTGGGGCAGGGGCTATAGAGAGCTGCTGCCTGTTGGTTTGCTCACAAGTTTATGCTTAGCTAATATTCTTATACAACTCAGGGCCACCTGCCTAGGGAATAGTGTTGCCCACAGTGGGCCAATCCCTTGTTTATCAATTAGCAAGCAAGACAGACCTCCATCTACATGTCCACTAACCAATGTAATCTGAACACTTCTTCAACTGGGAGTTCATTGTCAGGTGACTCTGGGTTCTATTAAGTTTACAAGCTAACTAGGACACATCCACTTCCATGTACATCTGTGATCACAGTGTTTCTCCAGCCTGCTTGGACGTCCCCACCTTCATACATATGGAAGACTTTTCTCTTTGTTCAGCCCTCTCCCTCCTTCCCACTTTCTCTAGCTTATCCCCTCATTCTTAGTCTCCTTGGATACTTCCTCAACACTGAGGAAGGTCTCCCTGATTCTCCTGCTCAGCCTCTGGTCCGTGTTAGAGTTAGTTTTTTGGTGCATCTTCATGTTTATGGCCCACCTCTGTTGTTGGGATGCAAACTCCCCAACTTGGATATTGTTTTTCTTTGTCTCCTGTGTAGCTGGAATATGGTTGGTTCCCTGTGCAGCTCAGGATGAAACGTGGCCCCCAGTGTGACAGTGTTAAGAGGTCGTGGGACCTGTAAGAACTGAGTAGGCTTGTGAATGGGACTCATGGAGTTTTTATGGAACTGGGTTCGTGGCCTCCCATGAGACAGGCTCCAGGAAGTGAGACTGTCGGTCAGTGTGGACTAGCTTCTGCACATCCCTGCTTGCTTTTCAGCTCTCATCATGAGCTCATGCAGCATAAAGGCCCCAGAAACTGAACAGAGGTCAACACCGGGTTCTTGAACTTTCTTTCTAGCATCTGCAATGGAGGAACTGATGAAATTTCCTCACTTTATACAGAACCCATTCTCAGGCATTCTATTGTAGCAATAGAGATGGATTAAGACAGCTCCCCAGTGTCTCCTATGAAATCTATCATGAAGGAGGCACCTTCTACTACCTGGTACTATCTGGAATACCTGGATAATGGACATTGACTATTGGCTGTTTGCTAGGGGAGCCTGATCATTATGGACCTCCAGGGATCTGTCAAGAAACAATTCCTAGTTCAAGCCATGGATGTCTGTTCATCGCTGGGTTTGCCGGACCGTCAACTCCTGTTTACAACAGAAGCCATTCCGAAGATGCTCAGTGGACAGAGAGTCAGAAGATCCTCCGCCGAGTCTAGATTGCCAGGGAAGTCACTTCCTGTCTCTGAATTTTAGTTATAATGACAGGCTGCAGGTGAGTGATTTCTAAAAAGCCTCGCTTGTACTTTCCATTTAAAGTTTCATTACAACATTGAATTTAAAGTTTCCATTTAAAGTTCAGCCCAACGTTGAAAACACAGGCATGGCGAGACACTCCAGCGGGACCCGAAAGGACCTCTCGCTAAACCGTACCCACCAAAACATGTTTTATTTTGATTGCTTTCCAGGAACTGTCTCAATGAGCCAGGAGGAGTGGGCGGATGCCACAGGTCAAGGCAGATGGTGGGGCAGGAGGGGTGGCTGAGGGCAGAGGCAGTGAGCATGTTGGCAAGCCTGGTCTTCCAGGCTGTCTGCTGGATCACTGGCCTTACTGTGGATGGCACAGAGACATCAAGGGCAGTGGAGTTCTGCCCTTGAGCGGCACTGGAAGAAGCTCATTGCTGCTCATTCTTTGAGGAGATCTCAATGGTTGCTTCACGAGCACTCCTTTCTGTTGAGTCTATGTTGGGCCACTGCCTTGGCAGAATCATGCTCTGCCATGCCTTGCTCCTTGCCTGTGCCACCCTATTTTTTATGTCTTGCTGGTCTTCTCCTACCTCCCTTGAATCTAGATTAGGGATGGTTTCTTTACTTTTTTTCTTTGTATGTGTGTGTGTGTGTGCATGTGTATGTATGTCTGTGCATGCATGCACACGTGTGTGTCTGTTCACATTCATGTTTGTGCAGGTGGCATTTGCAGAGACCAGAGATCAACTTGGAATCCATTGATTTGGCTGGCCTGCCTAGTCAGTGAGCCTTGGGAATCCTCCCGTCTCTACGTCCGTGGACTAGGAGTACATGTACGTACCTCTGTGCCTCACTTTGGAATGCTATTTCCAGGGACCCAGCTTAGCTTTCATGATTGCACAGAAGGTATTTTCCTGGGTGAGCCATCTCCCCAATTCCCAGGGTTCTTTTCTTATGTTCCCATAGCTCTGTGTGTTCTCTCAGAACACCCACTACAATGTTTCTTGATTTGCTTGCTTCCCTACCAGGAACCCGAGTTGCTTGTGAGCAGGGACTCTGGGTCTTAGATTTTCAAGGGAATAAATGAGCGACGGATTAAGAAAGGAAACACGGCTTGACTTTCGAGGTCCAGCTCTTCAGTTGATCGTCACGGGGCACGAATGGAATTGGGCTGGAAGACCTTACCCTCCGTTCAGGAACAGTAAAATGTGTTTGCAAGGCATGCAGTCTTCAGGAACAGTAAAATGTGTTTGCAAGGCATGCAGTCTTCAGGGTGACAAACGCTGGGGATGGCAGGTGTGTTCATTTTCAGAGTGTTCCAAGCCTGCTCCACACTTATAAAACCAAGTACTGAGTATATGGGAAACCCTGGAATCATCACGCTGCAGGGTGCTCCCCAGGCCCTGTCGAATTAGCACCTTTGTCTGGTAATGGAACATAAAGAGTGACCTTTTGCTGTCTCTGTGTGACTCCATGGGACTCCGTGTGCTCCTTCATGCTGGGCTTATGTAATGTTTCTTTCGGGGAAATCCATAGGAAACATCTTACTTGGCAGGCATGTGGTGCATGGAGCAGGCCAGAGGCTCAGAAGTGTGTAGGCGGGGCATAGAGAGAGACAGAGAATGAGGTGTGTAATGCACGCAGTTCCAGAAGCTCCCTTGAGGTGTGTTTGGAGGGAGGAAGCACATCCCTCAAAAGACCTACCCCTCTGGCATTTCACCTCTCCCATGAGGTGCTCCTTCTTTGATCCCTCAGCACAGTTCACTGAAGCAAAACACAAAATGCCTCAGGGGCCGAGCAGACACACGGTCCCCACAGAGAGCTCTGGTGCAAGGGGCTACTGGCTTCTCTGCCTTGTTTTTGCTTCTGCACGCGGGGATCGACTCTGCCTCTTTCGTGCCTGTCCTCAGAGGAACAGACTAGGAAGAGACAGTGCTCTTCCTAGTCTCTGGTTCAGCACAGAAAAGTCAGGGCCTACTTTTGTTTTTCTTCAGCCTTGCTGGCAAGATATCTATTTCCAGAAGGATCTCCCCCCTCATTCCCCCACCCCCAAGCTGAGAACCTAACCCAGGGCCATGTGCTTGCTAGGCAAGTGTTCTATCACTGAGCTAAATCCCCAGTTCCAGAAGGATCTTTTTTTTTTTTAAATATTTATTTATTTATTTATTGTGTATACAATATTCTTTCTGTGTGTATGCCTGCAGGCCAGAAGAGGGCACCA